CTTGTCTATTTCCTCTGTGTCTATTTCACAGGATTGGAGAGAAGCTCTAGAATATTCTAACTGGAAGAAAGCCATGATTAAAAAAATAAAAGCATTGACAAAGAATGAAACATGAGAACTTGTTTCACCTCCACAGGGAAAGAAGATAGTTGGTTGCAAATGGGTGTTCACCGTCAAACATAAAGCAGACGGATCGATCGAAAGGTACAAAACTACATTGGTGGCTAAAGGATTTACTCAGACCTATGAGATTGACTATCAAGAGACATTTGCACATGTTGCGAAGATGAATACAATTGGGATACTTTTTTGTTGCGCAGCTAATCTTGATTGGGATCTACAGCAATTTGATGTAAAAAATGCATTCCTCCATTGAGATTACAGGAAGAGATGTACATGAAAATTTCACATGGATTTGAAGATGAGAGAATGCAAGGAAAAATTTATCAATTAAAAAAGGCCTTATGCGGATTGAAATAGTCTCCAAGAACATGGTTTGAACGGTTTAAAAATATTATGATCTCTTTTGGATATCAACAAACCAATGCGGATCATACTTTATTTATGAAACATCATGAGGGTAATGTCACTCTTTTCGTTGTTTATGTGGATGATATTGTGGTAAATGGAGATGACAAAAAGAAGATGACTTGGTTAAAAGAACTTTTTACTCAAGAATTTGAAATAAAAGATTTAAGAAAATTGCAATACTTCTTGGGGATTGAAGTTGTCAGATCAAATAAAGGGATCTTCATTTCTCAAAGGAAGTATACTCTGAACTTACTAAAAGAGACTAGTATGATGGCTTGCAAGTTGGCAGAATCACCTATTGAGAGCAACTACAAATTGCAAGCAGATAGTGGTACATCAATTGACTTGCGAAGATACCAAAAACTAGTTGAAAGACTCATTTATCTCTCACATATCAGACCTGATATAGCATATGCAGTTAGTCTTGTGAGCCAGTACATGCATGATCCTCGTGAGACTCATTTACATGCTGTTTTCCACATATTACGATACCTGAAGTCTGCATCAGGAAAAAGTCTGCTCTTTTCTAAGAATGGTCACCTTAACATAGAATCATTTACAGATACCGATTGAGTTGGGTCCCTAAATGATAGAAAATCAACTATAGGTTACTGCACACTTGTAGGAGGCAACTTAGTCACATGACAAAGTAATAAACAAAGTGTGGTTGCTCGCTCCAGTGCTGAGGCAGAATATAGAGCAACGGCTCAAAAAGTATGTGAATCACTATGGTTGCAAAAGCTAATGAAGGAGTTAAAACTGCTTAAAACCAAAAAACTATCCCTTTTTTGTGACAATAAAACAGCAATTAACATTACTCATAATCGAGTTCAACATGATATAACAAAATACACTGACATTGATCGACACTTCATAAAAGAGAAGGTGGTTGGTGGCTCTCTATTCTTATATCATGTATTTTCTAACGACTAGGTGACTGACATTTTCAATAAAGGACTATGCAACAAATCGTTTCAGAACCTGATTTGCAAGTTGAACATGTGTGATATCTTTACACCAAGTTAAGGGGGGGTGTTGATAAGAATTTCATGCTAAGTAGAATACTATATTATTTAGAATTCTAATAGTATAATTATATCCTATAATTAGAGCCCAAATAGAATAAAAATAATTACTATATATATATCTTCTAAGTGTAAATGCAATAAATAAGAAATAAAATTAAAAGTTTATTTTCTCTAAAAATTTCAGAAAAAAATGACAATTTTTCTGTCAAGTCATATTATAATTATTTATGCAGAAAATAGAATGTGGTTAGACGTACTTTTCCAGTAAGGCAAATTTGGAAACTAGGGCTACTCCTCACATTGCTTTTTTGCTTGGGATGCTTGCTGGGAGAGAATATTAACTATCGATAAGCTGAGAATTAGAGGAAGGGTGCTGGTAAACGGTTGCTATTGCTGCCTGAAAGCAGAGGAAACATGTAACCACATTTTATTATGGTGTCTGACAACATATAGTTTATGGTGCGTGATCTATGCCCTTCTGGGGATTGGTTAGGTTATTGTAGGGTCTATTGAGGGAGAAATTTGGGCTTAGGATGGTTTATATGTAAAAAATAAGATTGTTAACTTGATTCATTTGACTGTTTTCTGCATCATTTGGAATGAGAGAAATAGTAGGGTTTTTTATCATGTTGAGAGTAGTACTAATAGTTTAAAAGATAAGTAAATTTATTATTTTGTATCTATTTTATTATGTTATGACATTATTAGTGATGTAGATTTTTAGAATGTTATTGATACGCTAACACGATTATAAATCTTTTGTAAATGGGCAGTACCCCTTTTTTGGTACCTTATTAATATATACTACAGATTTTTATCTCAAAAAAAAAATCAGAAGGGAGATCACTCGATATTTCCAGGAGCTCTACACAAAAGAAAATAAGCATAGACTTCTTATTAAAGGAATTGATTGGAAATCTATTGTAATACAACAGCCTGAGGGACTTCAAACTAAAGGACAGATTCCCGAGAATTTTTTCCATTGCACAGAATATAGACATGTTGGTGGAGGAGGCATACCTGGTTAGTTGGGAGGACAGGGTGTAAAATGTGTAGGTTAGCAGAAATTTGAATGATTCGGAAGTGGATGGCTACTAACAATTAATGCTTATTGTGTCCCAAGTCAATCTGGGCAACCAACCAGATCTAAGGTCGTGGATGCTCGAAACAAATAGAATGTTCTCTGTTAAATCCTATTACGGGCAGCTGCGTAATGGGGAGGATAGAACTCTTTCTGTTTTTCCATTTAAATAGATTTGGAAGATAAAAATTCCTCCAAGAATGACATTTTTATATGGAAAGCCTGCAAAGGAAGTATTTTGACAATTGATACATTGATGAGAAGGGGTAGATGCATGGTTAATTGTTGTTTCATGTGTAAATCGGGTGCAGAAACGTGTAATCATTTATTATTGTGGTGCTCGATGGTGTATAGTTCATGGACTATGATCTAGTGACTTTTGGGGATAAAAAAGGTTATGGTGGGCTTTGTGAGAGACAAAGTGTGGGCGTGGGCAGGGCTTTGCAAAAAGAAAACTCACCTACTCCTTATTCTGATATCTATCTTTTGGGTGGTACGGAAGGAGAGAAGTGCTAGAGCATTTGAAGGGATTGAGGAGAATTTTGCTAACATTAGAGATAAATAGTTTTGTACTTTTAGAGGGAGGGGAAACTCATACCCACTTATTTCTCAATTGTGGCATTGCCTAGAAATGTGGAAGAATATTTTT